TTTTTTTTTTTGGTTTTTCTCCGGTACCGGGAACCGAACTCACGACCTTGCGCTTGCCAGGCAGGCGCTTTGCCGCTGAGCTAAATCCCCAGCCCCGCATTTCATCTTTGATTGGCGGCCTTGCCTCGTGCCGCGACGTCTGCGTCCCCGGGCGACTTCACTCCGCAGAAAAGCGAGTCTGGACTGAGAACGCACGGGCGCTGGCCTTGTTTCAGCGTTTAGTGAAAGCCGGATTTGTGTACTGCTGAGGACCAGACGAGGCTGCCCTGACGACCCCCAGTGCCCAGGGCTGTGGAAAAGAGATTAATCCTTTCCCCAACATTTACTTGATTTGATCTAGAAGTGATGTAGAGTCCCAAACGGTCCCAACCAGAGAATTATGGGCATGAAGCCACTTGGGGAGCCGCAACATAATTGCCTTATCTCATTGAACTCAAGATGTTATAATTTGAGAACTAAGAAAACTGTTAATGGCAGGGTGTGTAACAAAAAATGTAATTCCAGAGACTGAGGCAGGAGGATCGCGGCGAGTTAAAAGCCAGCCTGGGCAACAAAGGGCAACAAAGGGAAACTTTGTCTCAAAACAAACGCAACTGTTACCAACTGTAGGATCTTTGTTACCGGCAGAGATTGAAGGAGATGGGAGGTTAGGAAATAACCTGTGAATGTGCAGTCAAACTTCACCGTGACCCGCCTGTCAGATGTTATCTGCACCTCTAACATGGGTGGTAACCCCACCCCAAAGGTACTGGGGGATGGAACCCAAGGCTTTCACCCTAGGCTATTTCTCCAGCTTTTTTTTTTTTTTTTTTTTTTTTTTTAATTTTAGACAAGGTCTTGATAATTTGCTCACGCTGCGTTGAAACTTGGATTCTTGCCTCAGCCTCCCCAAACATGGGGGGATTATATGGATGTGCCACCACAACTAGCTTAAAATTGGTGACTTTATTTTATTTTTTATCTTTTTGAGATAGGGTCTCACTATGCAGTTCAGGCTGACCTTGAGCTCACTTTGTAGACCAGGCTGGCCTACGAACTCACAACGATCCTCCTGCCTCAGCCTCCCGAGTGCTGGGATTACAGGCGTGCGCCATCATGCCTGGTGACAATTGGTGACTTTAAAAGTCCACTAAATAGGGGGCTGGGGATTTAGCTCAGCGGCACAAGCGCCTACCTGGCAAGAGCAAAGTTGTTAGTTTGATTTCCGGTACCGGAAAAAAAAAACAAAAAGAAACAAAAACAAAAAATAGTCCATTAAACTAAGAGCAGATGAGGGGCTGGGGAATTTAGCTCAGCGGCACAAGCACAAGGTTGTGAGTTCGATTCCTGGTACCGGAAGAAGAAGAAAAAAGAAAAAAGCAAATGAGAAGGCTGGGGATCGAGCTCTGTAGAGCTCTTGCTGCAAGTGGGAAGCTTTGGGTTAGATCCCAAGCACTTCAGGGGGGAAAAAAAAAAATGCAGGCAAAGTGTTGTGAGTAAAGTTTATTCAGATTTTTCCCCTTGGTTTCATCATGAGCTAGCAAATGTTTCCATTCTTTGATGAAAATGTTCCAGCATATAAAAAGATGAACTGTACAGTGGCTGTTTCCCTACTACTTAATTATTTTTTGCTTTTTGAGACGGGCTTTCATTTTGTAATTCATGCTGGCCTTAAAGTCACTATGTAGCCCAGGCTGGCCTTGAACTCAGGGCAATCCTTCTGCCTCAGCTTCCTGAGTGCTGGGATTACAGGCATGCGCCACCATGCCCGGCTTAGATTCTGCTTTTTTGCATCACAGTAATTTACCATCTACTAGAACATAACAGAAACAGAGTCATACAATCTAAGTCTTTCCTGCCCGCTTTTCTTGCCACGTTTTCAGATCCATCTGCTTGTGTACTCCATGAATTCATTCCTTTCTATTGCCGTGAAGTCCTCTGCTGTGAATACACCACAGTTTATGCCTTTGGCCCTTGGCAAACATTGGGTCCTTCCCAGTTTTGGGGTATGATAAATAATACTGCTATGAAGATCCCTGTAAAAGTATCTTTATGGAGATACATTTTCATTTCTCTTGGCATGTTCCTGAACATAGTCTGGATATATGCTTAGCTTTTCTCAAGGCAGCCATACTTTTTCCCTCCCAACAGTGCATCAGTTCTGTTCAGTCCATTGTGGAGCTAGCATTGGTGTCAACAAGCTTCTTAATTGTAGCCAGTCCAGTGGGTGGGTAAAGCCATGTTTTATTGTACTTTTAATTTAAATTTGCTAATTAAAGATGTTGAGCATTTTTTCATGTGCTTATTGCATGCCATCAATCATAAGGTATATTCTGAATTTGTAATAAAATTGTGAATCAACATACAAATCTTGCTGGCGTGGTGGCACACGCCTGTAATCCCAGCACTCAGGAGGCTGAGGCAGGAGGATCCTTGCGAGTTTGAGGCCAGCCTGGTCTACAAAGTGAGCTCAAGGTCAGCCTGAACTGCATAGTGAGACCCTGTCTCAAAAAGACCAAAAAAAAAAAAAAAAAACCCAAACCAAAAAAACCCATGCAAATCTTAAAAAGACAATGAAGTAAAAATAAGCCCCAGAAGTTTCTTTGTGCCTGTTTCAATCCTTGTTCCCAGTCCCAGCCCAGGTGTCGCTATGTAGTTCAGGCTGGCCTTAAACTCATGGGTAGCCTCCTGCCTCAGCCTCCTAAGTACTTTTAATTTTGCTTTGAAACAGGGTCTCCCCAAATTGCCCAGGCTGACCTTATACTTGTGATCCTCCTGCCTCAGACACCCAAGGAGTTGGAATTATAGGGGTGCATTACCGTGCCTGGTATGAGGCTCTAGGTTTGATCCCTTGCATGGGGGTTGGGGGGAGGGGATATAAAAGAACAAGGCCGGGCATGGTGGCACATGCCTATAATTCCAGTACTTGGGAGGCTTAGGGAGAAGGATCACTGTGAGTTTGAGGGCCGCCTGGGCTACAGAGTGAGTTCAAGGCCAGCCTGAACAGCATAGTGAAACCCTGTCTCAAAAAGGCAAAAAAAAAAACTAAACTAAAATAACAAAATAAAGTTGTTGAGCTGGGCATGGTGACCCATGTCTGTAATCTCAGCACTCTGGAGACTGAGGCAGAAGGGTCCCTGAGGGCTGGGGATTTGGCTCAGTGGCAAAAGCGCCTGCCTGGCAAGCGCAAGGTCATGAGTTCGGTTCCCGGTACCGGAGAAAAACAAAAAAAAACAAACAAACAGAAGGGTCCCTGAGTTCAAGGTCAGCCTGAACTACAGAGTGAGACCCTGTCTCTAAATAAATAAATAAATAAATGAATACATACATACATACATAATATGAATACATACATGCATACATAAAGTTTTTGATAAGCCATGGGTGGTGACTCACAACTGTCCAGCATTGAGGAGTCTAAGGCAGGAGGATCACTGTGAGGTCAAGGCCAGCCTGGGCTGTACAGTCAGTTTGAGGCCAGTCTGTACTATATAGTGAAATGCTGTCTAAAAAACATAAAAAGACCATGTTTTTAAAAGAAGTTCACATTCATGGATTCCAGGTAGATTTAACTTCTGGGGGCCACTATTCAACTTATTGCCTGACTAGTCACAGATTTTCTGCTTGGTACCTACCAAATTTTTTTTTTGAGACAGCATCTCACTATACAGTACAGGCTGGCCTCAAATTCACAGTAATTCTCTTGCCTCGCCCTCTTTTTTTTTGGTCTTTTTGAGACAGGGTCTTGCTATGCAGTTCAGGCTGGCCTGGAGCTTACTTTGTAGCCCAGGCTGGTCTCGAACTTGCAGTGAGCCTCCTGCCTCAGCCTCCCGAGTGCTGGGATTATAGGTATGTGCCACCACGCCCGGTGCCTCACCCTCCTGAATGCTAGGATTGGTGGTATGAACCACCATGAGGCTGAGGCAGGAAGGCTGCCACAAGTTCAAGGCCAGCCTGGGCTACATAGTGAGTTCAAGATCAGCTTGAACTGCATAGCGAGACCCTGTCTCAAAAAACAATCACACAAACTTTTTTTTTAAATTTTGAGACATGGTCCACTAAGTTGTCCAGGCTGTGCTTAAACTCACAAATCTCCTGCCCCAGCCTCCTGAGTGCTGAGATTATACCACCTTGACAGTCCTTCAGCATTTTTTTTAAACACAGGGTCATGCTGTATGGTTCAGGCTGGCTTTGAGTTTACTATGTAGCCCAGGTTGGCCTTTTTTTTTTTTTTTTTTTGAGATCAGGTCTCGCTACGCAATTCAAGCTGGCCTTGACTCACTTTGTAGCCCAAGTTGGTCTGGAACTCGCAAGGATCCTCCTGCCTCCTGCCTCAGCCTCCCGAGCGCTGGGATTACAGGTGTGCACCACCATGCCCAGCTGGTTGGCCTTGAACTCAAGACAATCCTCTTGCCTCAGCCTCCCAGTGATTACGTACGTGTACATACCACCAACCCCAGTTTCCTTCAGCATTCTGAGTATGTCATTTTATTGTCTTCATGGCTTCTAATGTCTTTTCAGAGAGG